TTAGGGTTTAGGGTTTAGTGTCCATGACATGCGTGTTGCTTCAAGAGGAGTGCAAGTATAGCGAGTTCTGAATTTGGTTCAAGCGCTGGCGCTTCTGCGATTGCTGCATGTCTTCTGTATCAATGCCTGCAGTGCGGCACCAATCTGGCTCCTGCCGCCTCTCCCTTACCCCTGGTGTTGTGGTCCGTTCTACCGGATAATAAACCAATCCTAGCCGACGCCTTCGACCACATGAACATCACACCCAACCCCCTGAAGATCCGACACATGCAAAGACCCTGAACCCTAAACCCTGAACTAAAAACCCTGAACCCTGAACTCTAAACCCTCAACCCTTAACCGTAGGATTTAGGCCTTAGCATCCTTTAGGGGCTTCGGGCTTTTGGTCATTCAAGGGCTCAAATTTAGGGTTTAGGGTTAGGGGTTGGATTTAGGGTTTGGGGGTTAGGGTTTAGGGCTTCAGGGGTTAAGGGGCCTCAAACCCTAAACTGCTCATAACGCCAGAGGTCTGCAAACCCCAAAGGCTCTTGCGAAGAAACCCTGAAACCTGAAATCCAATAACCCGAGATTCTGGGAAGTCTCCTGAAGCGCCCTTAGGGTTTAGGGTTTCAGGTTTAGGGTAACTGAGGGGCTGAAACTACTACTAGAACCGATGGGCTGAGTGTCTTAGACCACGGTTTAGGTTTAGGTTTAGGGTTTAGGGTTTAGGGTTTAGGGTTTAGGGGTTAGGGTTTAGGGGTTAGAGTTTCCAAGCTAAAGCAGGGTTACATCAGCCGAGAAAGCTTACAGGTTGCCTACTCAGCCCCCAAGATAATGAAAATCAAAGATACGTCCTAAACCCTAAACCCTAAACCCTAAACCCTACACCCTAAACCCTAAACCCTAAACCCTAAACCCTAAGAACCCTAAACCGTAAGAGTCCTAAACCCCAAGGACCCTAAGAACCCTAAGAACCCTAAGAACCCTAAACCCTAAAAACCCTAAACCCTAAACCCTAAACCCTAAGAGCCCTAAACTCTAAACCCCAAGAGCCCTAAAACCCCAAACCCTAAACCCTAAGAACACCCAAGTCTGAAGCACGAAGCCTCTGAACTCCCGAGGCCTGGACCCCACAATGGGTTTAGTTCAGAGATTTAGGAGTGGACGCATGCATAAATCCTAAACCCAAAACCCCTAAATTACTAAACCCTAAACCCTACATCCTAAACCCAAAACCCTAAACCCCAAATCACTCATCCCGAAATTACTAAACCCTAAAACCCAAAACCCTAAACCCCTTTGGGATCCCGGCGATGCGAAAACTGCATTTCTGGCTCGGGTCGCTGTTGACCAATGGTTTGAGGCCGGCCCCCTGCAGCAGCTGAACCTCAGTGGAGTTTAGGGTTTAGGGGGCGGTGCGAAGCGTCGGTAGTGAATTTTGGAGGGTTTAGGGGTTTAGGGTTTAGTGTAGGGTTTAGGGATGTTTAGGGTTTGCTTTGATGTTTGCTTGGCTTCGCTATCAACTCTTGCCACTGCCATCGCTCGGAAGTAATGCGGCGGAGGCAAAACCACTAGCCACTTTCCCCACACCCCATGATGAGCTCAAGCATGTAAGCACCGCACCCGAGAACCCTGAACCGAAGCCGAGAACATGCGAGAACCCTAAACCGAAGCTTGAAACCCTCTGTTATAGACAGCCTCAAGGCCCACATGCTCACGACCTGTACGGAAGAGCAAAATGAACAAGCAGAAACAATGAAAAAACGGAAACGAATTGCTCAGGACCTTGTGTCACGTCTTCTAGATCCAAACCCCTGCGATGGCTTATACGCATGCAAGTCGCCGCTGAGTCAATCTTATAAGGACTTAGGACAGGGAAACGAAGACACGGAGAGCGGCGAGAATGGAATTTGTCGCGCTTCACACCAACAAGCCTTCACAGCATTTCTCAAGGAGACCAGTTGCCCGACCTTGCCAAAACTGTTTGAACAGGGAGGGGCCTTAATAAATTATACGGCTCCGTTAAAGGGCTCCGTAAAGGGGATACTAATAAGCGTTCTATGATAGGGTTCTATATGGGGGCCCACAACTCTGGAAGCCTTGACGGGCTACACCTTCATTTGATCCTGAACCCTGCGAAATTGCTCGTTGCGCTCAGTTCCAGCGTGCTTCGGAGCTGATCGGTTCAGGGTTTATAGGGTTTAGGGCCTTAGGGCGTCAGCCTCTGAATCGCAAAACCTGACAAGCGAATCCTAGCCTAAACCCTAAACCCACAACTCCTGAACCCTGAAGCCAAAGCCCCTAAACCATAAACCCCTAAACCCTAAACTCCAAAACTCCGAAACCCTAAACCCCAAAACCCCTAAACCCTGTGAGCAAAGTAGCTCTGGGGGGTCTCCTCATCGAACCAGAGCACCTCATAACATGGTTTAGGGTTTAGGGTTAGGGCCGTAATAATTAGAAGAGGATGTTTAAGGTTTAGTGTAGGGAATAGGGTTTTCTTTGTATATGATACCATCAATATGGCAATAAATCCCATGGACTAGGAGTACTAGCTATGCAAGCTTCTGTATCAGGGTGTAATATTGCTGCGGCTTTGTGATTTGGAGTTTAGGGTTCAGGGTTTCGGTCTTAATATTAATACAGGTTGTTCGCTTTGGGATTTAGTTTAAGCATAACACGTACCTTGTCTGGTTGCTCAAACTATGAGCGTTCCCCAGACATTGTGATTCTGATGATGCGTAGAGGCCTGGTTTCCACAACTGTTTGAAACACGTTTTCACTGGACGACATGCAGCTGTTCGCAGCGATGTCAGGGTCGCCCGCGGCCATACGTGGCGGGGCAATGTTAGTACTGAGAATGCGATTGTCATGTGATCTCTGATGGAGCTTCCGTTGGTTCTTCGGGG